ACCGATGCAAAACGAATGTTCGGGGGCCAAAACACGCAGTTCGGGGTCCCGGAAATGGGCTGTTAAGCACCGAAAATGGTATTCGACCTCGAAGTGGGTTTCTCAGCCCCCAGTGTCCCTCAAAAGGGATGAAATAAGATGTATGCCAAAAACCGGAGCAATAGGAGATGGTTAAGCGGTCCCGAACCGAGGTACACGGCCTGACGGCTCCGAAAACCGGTAACCGGACTCCGAAATGGGAAAAAATGGCCTACGGCCACCAAACGTAGCCCACGGGCACTGAGAGATAGTCTACAGGACCTCTCCCTTCCCTCAGGAAAAGAAACAGAGAAAACCGAGTCTGGTTCGCAAACCGAGACAAGGCACAGAAGAGGGTTCGGAAATCCGGAGGCAGGGCTCACGGCCGCAACTCTGAAGCTTCTGAACGAGCACATTATGCAACATCACCAAGCGCTCAATCGATGACGTCTGAGTCTTAAGGTCGGTCAAAAATGGGGTGTCTACACCCACCAACTCAAAATGGCAGACACACCCTCCAAACAAAGGGACAATGCTGTAGCACGTGAAGTGATGATTCATCCTCATTCTTGGACAAACCACAAAGTGTAGATGCATTGCCATTAAGGACTCCAATTCTCTGCAAGAACACTACAGTTTTGACCTTATTCTTAGTGTTTTGACCTTATTCTTCCAAGCAAGCCACCTAAAAAACTGAACTTTAGGAGGAAGAGTATTATAGATTGCAAGCAGTATGAATTATCAACAACTTAGGGCCTGTTTGGACATCTCTTCCCTCAACATACCAAACACATTAAAATTGATTGTCATGTTGTCTGGGATAAAATTCACGGTCCAAACTTGAAGGAGCGTGTTAGAGATACAGCTGCATACGCTTGAAGACAGCCCCTGATTAGCAGTTTTATTCAACAAACATGGGCTTTGATTGTACATTCCTTGTATCTATTCTGGCAGTTATGTATTCCTGGATTCAACCCCTTGATTTCTCTGCTAATTTGACCTATAATGACATGGCATGCTAGGTGTCAATTTTTTATTTGTAACAAATTCAACTATGTAAGGCTCCACTCCCTTTCCACATCATTATGGGTGAAGAGCAATCTAAATTGTGGGTTTTAACATTTCTCTTACATATAATGAGAAAGTGAGATGCTGTATTAATTCATGCTGCAGCAATTTCATGTCTTTTACTCTGTTCTAATCAGAGCAGTATGAGAAAGAACAAAAACATACCCATGTGGGGACAAAGAAGGAAGCAGAAAGAACCAACATGCCTGCAGTGGGAAGGGAAATAGCAGGTGCACCTCACTCTCCTGATTCTCTTCTTGTCCTTCTTCCACACCATATGGGTCCTGACCAGAGCTTGTGAAGGAGAGTACAATTGATTGTTGCTAGAGCACAGCTGAAATGAGTAAAGACATAAAATGAATCCCACTGGGTTGAATTTGAAATTAGGTGATTATAAATATGATACATACACATTTATATATTTTTTTGATGGTGAATTAATTTAAATAAATCACATAAAAAACTAAATGCTCAAATACTTCCGAGATACTTGCCATCAACAATCCCCATTCTTTGTTGATTCCAACACCAGTTACCTTCAGACAGCAAAAGAGTTTATTATATTCATGATGAAAGCATAACCAAAATTGATTATATTATGAAAAAGCATAGGAAATTATTCCAAGACCGAAAATTAGGGTATAAAATACGTTCTTTTGACATAAAAGTATATATAGAGAGAGCAAGAGAGGGAAATAGAGAGTTAATTTCCAGATTCTGCAAATGCATGAATAGGATGTTCATTCAACAATAAGACAAGACCAACTGGAAATTAATAAGACAAAATAAATAACAACAGAGGTCCAATATTGCACACATCAGGAAAATTACATGCGTAGGTACTTTACCAGCATAGTTCCAGCAAAAATGGTACTTTACCAACATAGTCTTACATATATTTCATAACAAGATCTAAATAACTTACAATCTTGCTTTCCCCAGTCATGCTAGATTCGTCGATGGCAAGAGAATGACCAGAAATTATGATTCCATCTGCTGGGACCTGGGAAAAATGGAAAGGTAACAACTTATTTTTTCTCGTGTTCATAAGCAGTAATATCTACAGTTGCAATAGTGGATTCATAAAAACAAATTTGTATGTCCGACAAATCAAACCCACTTAAATAGGCTACACTCACCTGATCACCAATCTTAAGAGGTATAACATCACCAACAACAATGTCATATATTGAAATATTTTCTCTCCTACCACCTCTTACAACCTGCATAATAATTCATAAAAATAACAATGTAGCATCCTAAGGTTAATAGATTAAAAATAAAGTAAATGCTTCATGTTGTAATTGCACACCTCCAATTGTATATTTCTCTTCTTTCTTTTTTTTAAATAACAATTTTGCTATCCCACTGCTCAAATAAATTATGAAAATGCTCTCCACGAGGAAGAAATTCTGCACATTATGAAAGTAGTGATAAGGAATGGAAACATCTATATAATTGCTTCATTCAACCAATTTAATTTACCTTTGAGAATTGCAAAATTATCTGGGATAGCCTAAGGACCTTAAACCATCAATATGATAAGATAGCAACTCAAGCAGCTCCAGCAGCAGCTACTCAAGCTCACAACAACAGCAACAGCTCAGCCACAGCTACAGCAGCAGAGCAATAGCATCTCAGCCATAGCAAAGCAGAACAACAGACAGCAGCTTCATGTTCGCAAAAGTTGAGTTGAGAATTTTATGACATAATTTTAATTCTACACAATCAACTAAAATTAACTTTGATTTTATCTATTCCCAACCATAACAATAGCGTGATTCAAATGAAATTACATATAAAAGTATGACAGGAGGACATGAATACTAGTCTTTTTTTAATTCATTCAATGGGACATTAATTCTTTTTTTTTTTTTTTTTCAAAAAGAAGATAAAATTCTACATTTACTATAAGATAATTCAAAGCCCAGTGGTTTTGCCAACTGATACATACTGTGAGTTTTTACCATTATTTGTATATGTGGTTTATGTTTAAAGCAAAGATCAGAAGGAAAAATTTGAAGGAAAAGAGAGTTACCTGACAAAGGGTAGCAGGGGATAGAGTAATTTGATCATAATACCGTGGATTCATTGTGACAATGACGACAATCGAAGACTTCGTTGTAGCAGGGAGCTCTAATGTGAATTAAGTTTGATATCAATGCAAAGCAAACATAGATGAAAGAGTGACAAGCAACCTTATCAGAACATTAGAGAGAGCATTTGGACCAGTAGGAACATGAACAATGTGACTGCTGTCATTATTGTTTACAGCAGCAAGAAGGGCTTCTAGCTTTTCTGCTTTCCCCTTATCTTCTTCACCAAAATTAACAATATCAAGGGCTACACTGTTCTTTTTTAACTTCCTTCCAATCATGCAAAAATGGAAAAATGTTACTTTGCTAAATTATGCAAAAATGTTTCTTTGATACATTTCACAACAACATAATGGGTAAAGATTAACACACTCGAGATTAGAAAAGTTCAAAACAAATAAGGTCAGCATTTTCTTCTTCCTTTTTGGAAAAAAAGAAAAGAAAAATGGGTTTCAGACCGATGACAAGAACAAATTTTTCAAAAAAAATAAAAAAACCAATAAAATTGACCAAAGTCCTGAAACTGACAATGAAGCATTGCAACCTTTTACTTCATAAGAACAGAGGTTCA